AGAGGAAAATTAAGCTAGGCTTATTGAAATACTCATGGGGGTGAGGCCAGGTAAAAGTAAAAACTCGCGAGTCGCAGAGCAACGCAATGTTAATTTCTAAGTGATTCACACAAGTTTGCTGATCATCACATTAGATATGTATATTCTACAAACTTTTAATATATCAAATACGCAAAAGTTTTGCCTCGTAGTAAGTTTTTATAATAAGGAAAATGAATGAACCGATAGTATTATGAGAAGAGAATGAGGTATTTAAGAGGAATCAAGTTTCTGACAAAATTCAAATAGGACAAAACAGACTGTACCATAATTTTCAATATCCTCTGGCATGTCGTAATTGATAACGTGATTGATATCAGGAAAATCGAGACCTTTGCTGGCCACGTCCGTAGCGACAAGAACATCCTTTCTCATAGCCCGAAAATCGTTAACAGCGGCTGTCCGCTCTTCTTGGTCCTTGCCACCGTGGATGCTGACGGCCTGAATGCCTTTCAACAGCAGATATTCGTGAATGGCATCTACATCCTGCTTCCGCTCAGCAAATATAATTACCTGAAAGAGGATACATTGAAACAATGATAGTTCATCGAGACAGTCTACGTAGCACATTTTGCTTTAAAAAAATGTAGTTTATAAAATGAATGGCTGCAAACGCATTGAGTTTATTAATATCAGTGATGCAGCGCAAAATGAATAAAAGGTATACACAACTTGGCAATTTGTCACCACTAGCGACAAAACCTGAGTTTCATACACGTTGACATCAAATCCAACTTTTTTAATAGTGGCCAGGCTTAACAACAAAGACTAACTCCAAACTCACTAAAATTGTCTTGTGTCTTTATTATGCTAATATATAGCAGAGGGTCTATTGGGATTGGATAATGGGTAAAAATATACTTGTTATTATGAGTGCTGATTAAATGACAAATAGGCAATCTTATCCATGATGAATTAGACTTAATTTTAAAACGAACTACAATGCCACACGCATCACATGGGACCATTGCCAA